GCTTTCGCCTCAGCGCCGCGCACAATCGTTTAGAACTTGTCCACCGCTAGACGGATGGAGGGCGGCTCCCTTTCAAAGTAGAGTTTTCGTTCGAGACGTTCGTACTTCCTTCTTACTAGACCAAACTCGCTGGAACCTTCCTCGGATTTTCTGATCCGTCCCTCCAGCTAGAAGCATGGCCGGCAACTCCTCTTAAAAACTGGGCTCTCGCCTGCATTGCAGGACCCCTCCATACCGTCGTCGTGGTCGCCGCTGGGGGGGGGGGGCCAAAGAATATCGATACCCTTGCTCCTCGGACCTCTCCCAGTGTGCGTTCTGACCAGAAGTTCGAGGAGAACCCAGTCGTGGCCGACGAGGGCTCTCCAGGCTGCCAGGACAAGCAGCGGCATTGGTATCTTTCCATCCTGTGAGCGACGTCGACGTCGCCGTGGACGTCGTAGACGTCGACATTGTCGTCGACGTTGTCCAAGACATCCAGAGATATGGTTTGTTCAATGTGCGACCACAGGTCCTGACCCTTCCCCCGGTCAATTTTTCGCCCCGAGTCCTTGTTTGATGGCAACGGGTCCACAGAACGGGCCCCCGAGGCCGAAATCAAGGAAACGACGCCCAGAATGAAAACATGATATCGCTGGAGATCTTGTTTGAACGCCCGAAATGGGTACGGGAAAAACGAGCACGATGAGCAATAGCAAATGTTTTCAATGGCCGCTGTTGGACAGGAGGCCTTCTGTCTCAAGTGGGCAACTCCCGCGGAGGCACGGACAGCAAACCCTGCGCAAAATGGACAAGAACTGATGTCAGCCTTCGCCCCCACTCTCCCCGTACGCTCGGACCTGGGACAGAAGAGCACCCTTCAAGAACAAGAGACCCTCCGCTGGCCAAAACACACAGAACATCCAAGTGTGCCCTCCCCCAGGATGCACAAAAACATCCAACAAATACGAAGAACATTAGGGCACCCTCTCCGAACCGACCTCGATCGTATACCTCGGTCCGACCGCACCCGATCTCCATCCCCACTTGCACGGCCTTGACCCCACTGTTCGACCTGCCCCCCTTGGTGGGGATACGCGCCGCTCCCTGCGGGCTTCGCGGGGCGTGGTTATCCCCGCCTGGGCGAGAGGCCCAGCGGGGCCCGGACACCACTGCCCAGTGGGGATGGAGATCGGCTGGACGATGCTGAACGTCGATCTGATACCCCGCTCTTCCCGTGCCATTAAGTCGGGCGGGTCCCCCTACAGGGGGATTTTCGACGGAAAATAAAAATACCCCAAAAATACTCCAAAATGGTCAAAAAATATTCAAAAAATAGTCCCCAGACGATTTGTTTCTTATTATTGAAGATCCCCCCTGTGGAGGGACAAGCCCGACTTGACCGTACCCATGCCGACCGCACCGATCGGAGGTCGTCGCAGGCCGCCAGCCCGCCGGCAGGCGCCCAGGCCTCCGCCCGCTGCGGGCCCTCCGCCGCCGTGGCGGTGGCCGCCGCCGCCGCCAGCGGGCCGCCGCCGTGCGCACTGAGCGGGAGGTCCGCGGGCACCTCCGGAGGCGCCTCGTGGGCGGGGCCGCTGCCGCCGCCAACGCCGTCTCGGCCGCACGCCGAAGCGTGGCCCTGCTGCCCGGACCCCGTGCTGAAAAGGACATGGCGCAAGGTTGCTGTTACATTCGGCCTCCAGGGGCCCTCACTGGGCCCCCAGGACCGTCAAAAAACTACCCAGGACGAAGAACCGGTCCCAGGGAGCAGGTCCAGATATCCGGGTGTCCACGTCAAGAACAGCATCCTGGCGACGGACCCCACCAGATGCAGGCGTGAATACCGCAAGTCAGGCGGGACGAAGGAAGGGGAAGTCCCCATGGGGCCAAAAAGCGTGTGAGGGGTGTGTCGAAATGGTGAGGTGCCGCCATGAGGGCGCTGGCACTGGCGCCGTTGGTGGAGCTCCCTATGGCCTATTGGGCAACGAAACGTATGAGCGGTGTGCTGAAATTAAGCGGCGACGCCAAGCGGACCCTGGCATTCGGGCCTTAGTTGGAGCTCCCTATGGGGCCACGAAACTTGCGAGGGGTGTGCCGAAATGAAGCGGCGACGCCATGTGGACCCTGGCAGTTGGACCTTACTTGGAGCACCCTGTGGGGCCACGAGACGTGTGAGGGGTGTGCCGACATGAAGCGGCGACGTCATGCGGACCCTGGCATTTGGACCTTAGATGGAGCTCCCCCTGGGGCCACGAAACGAGTAAGGGGTGTGCCGAAATGAGGCGGCGACGCCATGCGGACCCTGGTATTTGGGCCTTAGTTGGAGCTCCCAATGGGGTCACGAGACAGGTGAGGGGTGTGCCGAAACAAGGCGGCGACGCCATGCGGACCCTGGCACTTGGACCTTAGTTGGAGCCCCCTATGAGGCCGCGAACGGGTGAGGGGTATGCCGACATGAGGCGGCGACGCCAAGCAGACCCTGGCATTTGGGCCTTAGTTGGAGCTCTCTATGGGGTAACGAAACGTGAGAGGGGTGTGCCGACAAGAGGTGGTGACGCCATGCGGACCCTGGCATTTGGACCTTAATTGGAGCTCCATATGGGGCCGTGAAACGTTAGAGGGCTGTGCCGAACTGAGGCGGCGACGCCATGCGGACACTGGCATTTTGGGTCTTAGTTGGGGCTCCCCATGGGGCCACGAGACGTGTGAGGGGTGTGCCGAAACGAGGCGGCGACGCCATGCGGCTCCTGGCACTTTGGCCTTAGATAGAGCTCTCACGACACGGGTGAGGGGTGTGCTGACATGAAGTGGCGCCGCCATGCGAACCCTGGTATATTGACCTTAGTTGGAGCTCCTCTGGGGCACGAAACATGGGAGGGGACCACCATGAGAACATGCGGAGGGCAGACGCAGGGATAGGAGGAGGCGGGGAGGAAGAGGAGGAGGAAGGAGGAAGGAGAGCGCGGGACGCTGTCTCTTCAAAACGAAGGCCCTGGGGCGTGGTCCTGTGGGGCGTTCCTTCCCTGCAGGGGGCCATTACCCTGGGGCACGGTCACCCTATGCCGCGAGGGCTGGGGCTGGGTGGCTGTCCGTGGTACTCAACCCACGGGGTTGCCCTACCCAGTGAAAGAAAGGCCGGACGGTCACATAGGGGAGGCGGTCGTGGGGTTCTCCATCGCCGCCGAGCTCACCCAGCCCATGGGGAGGTGGCCAAAGTGTCGCCGACAGGCACCGCATGGTCACTGCCTGTAATTCGGTGCACGCCAGGGGACTTCCCGGCGCCTATCGGCACCGGACATGCTAGCGGCGGCAGCTTCGTTCTGTGTTATCGACGCCGGGAGCTGTTGGAGCTAATCGAGGTCCCCTCGCATCGTCCATTGCGACACGGAGTAATTCGTGGAGTGTTGGGTTAATTCGACTCAGCTGGGTGGCCACACGTGTCCGGGGGCCCATCTGACCCGTATTCATAATTCCCCACGCATGCAGTCACCAGCATTGCATGCCAGCCCGCCGAGCGAGCTGCGAAGAGTTGCGAAAAACATGATGTCGGGGGCCGGGTAATGAGGCAAGCATGGCAGAGGAGGAAGGCCCAGATATCCGATGCCTTAATATTTTCAAGACGCGTCCCCCGAAGACCCGACCATTTTTCAAGGGCGGCTTCGCATCCCGGGCCGTGTTCTGGCGGTCCTGGGGCCCCGCGGGGGACCCCGAAGGCCGAAACGACAAAAAAATGTCCTGGCGAAGAACCCAACCATATGCGGCTGTGAGTACCGAGTTGTGGGTACCGCTCTCGGTGGAACCTCCGATGGGGCCACGATCCTCGTGAGGGGTGTGCCGAAATGAGCGGGGGGACGCCTGCAAACCCTGCCGCTGGGGCCTTCGGTGGAGCTTCTTATGGGGCCACGATCCTCGTGAGGGGTATGCCGAAATGGGCGGAGGCACGCATGCAAACCCTGCCGCTGTGGCCTTCGGTGGATCTCCTTATGTGGCCACGATCCTCGGTGTGCAGAAATCAACGGGGGGATGCATGCAAAACCTGCCGCTGGGGCCTTCGGTGGAGCGACCTATGTGGCCACGATCCTCGGCAGGGGTGTGCCAACACGGGCGGGGGAACGCATGCAAAACCTGCCGCTGGGGCCTTCGGTGGAGCTCCCCATGGGGCCGCGATCCTCGTGATTGGTGTGCCGAAATGGGCGGGGGGACGCATGCAAACCCTGCCGCTGGGGCCTTCGGTGGAGCTCCCAATGGGGCCGCGATCCTGGTGAGGGGTGTGCCGAAATGGGCGGTGGGGCGCATGCACACCCTGCCGCTGGGGCCTTCGGTGCTTCGGTGGAGCTCCCTGCGGGGCCACGATCCTCATGAGGGGTGTGCCGAAATTGGCGGGGGGACGCATGCAAACCCTGCCGCTGGGGCCTTTTGATGGAGCTCCCAATGGGGCCGCGGTCCTCGCGACGGGTGTGCCGAAGTGGGCGGGGGGGCGCATGCAAACCCTGCCGCTGGGGCCTTCGGTGGAGCTCCCTATGGGGCCACGATCCACGTGAGAGGTGTGCCGAAATGGGCGGAGGCACGCATGCAAACCCTGCCGCTGGGGCCTTCGGAGGATCTCCCTATGTGGCCGCGATCCTCGTGACGGGTGTGCCGAAATGGGCGGGGGGGCGCATGCAAACCCTGCCGCTGGAGCCTTCGGTGGATCTCCCTATAGCCAATGGGGCCACGATCCTCATGAGGGGTGTGCCAAAATGGGCGGGGGGACGCATGCAAACCATGTTGCTGGGGCCTTCGGTGGAGTCCCCTATTGGGCCACGATCCTTGTGAGGGGTGTGCCGACATGGGGGCTACGCTACTCCCGATCGGCCCGAAGGCCGTGCCAATCTAGAACTCGGGGGGGGGAACTTGGCCCGTGCCTCCGGCACCCGGGCAACCGTGCGATCGCATTGCGTGGATTGCTTCTTGGGCAGGCTGGGGCGGGGAGAGAAAGACGGCGGGGGAAAGGGGGCAGAGGGAAGAAAACCGTCAGATTTCGCTCGCGAGGTCCTTCACGAAGAACTCCGCGCTGACAGGCACAGATTCAATCGGTCCACCTCTGAAGCGGTCAGCCTCGATGGCGCGCACGACTGGGTCGACAAGCATACGAAAGAGAACACCACTGCGACAGATGTCCGTGTTCGATTTGTTGGAATCACAAATCTCTCTGGCGGTTGCGCCTGTTGCTCCACTCTGTGACTGGATGTCGCGCCAGAGCCGCCTCCAGCCAGCGCTTTATGCGATGGCCAGTAAGCTGCCATGCTTCCTCCAAAAGCACCCACCCAACTATACGCCTCAACAGTTTCATTTGTAGCGCGTCCAGCTTGTCGAGGTCTTTCTGGGTGAGTGGCGATGTGGTCAGACTGTGGAGGACAGACGGCGTCTCTAGGGAGTCGAACAGACGCAGGCGCAATGTGATCGGAATATTGCGATTCTGCATGGCATCTGCAAACTGATTGTCCTCCAGCCAAGCGCACTTCATGCGGTGCTCCAAATTGCACTTGCCGCGCATCCTCAAATCGCCGCTCAGCAGCCGGCCAAAGTATTTATGCGTGCCCGCGTGCTTGACAACCTCCACCATCCTGCCGCCGGCATCGAGGAAGAGCGGGACCACGTCTGCTGCAACATTGACATGTGTTGTCATAATCTTCGTCTCCCGAGCGTTGACTGACAAACTGGCTCTGCTCAGCTCTTCCACGAGGCAATCGAGCATAAACACTGCATCATCAAGCGACCGAGCAAATGAGAGCAAATCGTCTGCATACCGAATGTTCGTCAAGCGCCCGCTCCGCGGGCTCAGCAAGAGACCGCAATTGCCAAGCCGAGCCTACCACCGGCTGATTACCTCTTCCAGCGCAGGGTTGAAGAGCATCGGACTAAACACATCACCCTGTCTAATACCGCGTTGTATATCGAACTGACAACTATCCACAATTCCGCGCAGAGCGGTGTACAAGCATTGCAGCAGCGTGCTGTACTCGACAGGAACAGCAAACCCTGCCGCTGGGGCCTACGGTGGAGCTCCCTATGGGGCCAGGATCCTCGTGAGGGGTGTGCCGACATGGTGGGCATACGGCAAGCAGAAGCAGGAATGGGAGGAGGGAGGAGGGGAAGAAGGGAGGGGGCAGCGGGAGGAGGTGAGACGCGGGGCGTTGTCTCTTCAAACGAGGACCCAACACCACAGGATGGTTGGGAACAAGATTTGAGGGTCCTAGGGTGCCCCAGTGCTTTGTAGGTCCCTGGGGGCATCCGGCGAAAAGAAACTTCAGTGGGGCACATGCTGGCAAGCCGAGCTTTTTGTTCCCAACCCTCCGTTGGGATCTTGTTTTGGCTAGAGCATCGCGCCCTCCACTCCGTCCTCCTTCCCGCATCCCTCCGCCTCTCTCCTACCTCCTGCCTCCTACTCATCTCCTACCTGCCTGCGATTCCTGGGAGGCCGCGAACTGGGAACGTGTCGCAACTTTCGAAGGCTGCTGGGGGTCCAGTTGAGTGACAGATCACTGGAATCAGAACGATGCCTCGCCTTCGATGCAAGGCACTGCAGGCCATGCTCCACTGTGCTCTCACGCCCTGGCCTCTCTTCTGCGCTTCCCCCAGTGGTTAGACATCAAACTGGGCCGTGTGACACGCGAATCACCCCTTCATCTGTCACAACTAATCGAATTACTTGCCATACCATCATCCGCACTGATGTGGCCCACTGCTCTTTTCACTTCGTGAGTATGGGCTGGGTATACGTTGACTCGAGGCGCAAGGAGGGCACCGAACACGAACCCAACGTGTGATGCATCGGGTGCCGCGGCCGCTCCGTGGCGCTCCAGAACGCTGTGAGATGGCTCACGAGATGCTGCACGAGAATCTCCAGGAACTCCACGAATCTCCGAAACGACAAAGTCGACCACGTCCCACACTGCCAACAAACTATTCCATGAACCCCTTCGCCCATCCTGCTGGCCTTCTTCCAACCCAGATCGATTTCCGACGGCCCTGAGGGCCCGAAGCCGGACCCGAAAATGAAGAGAAACGTCGCTGGCGTCGTTGCTGCCGAGAACGACGTCGTGCTTCGTTCACGACGTCGATCCCCAAAGGTCTGGACACCTTCCGTGGGACTGGCTGTTATTCCTGGGCCAAGCCCGGGCCTGGTGAGGGCCCCCGGAAACCGAAAACGGCCCGAAACCAAGCTCACGCCGCGACTCTCTGGCGACAAGAGGTGGGGTTGCCGAGGTCGCCGCCGCCATCGTCGGCGACGGCGAAGTCGTCATTCTGCCAGTCCTGTGCCGCTGGCGCGGGCGCGTCGGCGGTCCCGTCGGCCGGGGCGGCGAGGACGGGCGGCTGGAGCACCTGCTGGAGCGGCTCCTGGGGGCCAAATTGCGAGACAGGGGAGGGAGGGAGGGAGGGAGGAGAGGGAGGGGGAGGAAGGGAGGGAGGAGAGAGAGGGAGGAGAGAGAGGGAGGGAGGAGAGGGAGGGAGGACAGGGAGGGAGACCGGGGAGGAAGGGAGGAAGGAGAGGGAGGGGGGAGGGACCCAGACCCGCTCGCGTCGTGGAAAGACCACGACGGCAGATATTTCACGGCATTTGGCTTCTGGGGGGCCCTTACCAGGCCCCGGGACCTTAAAAAGCGACTCAAGATGAAGAACCCGTCTCCAGGAAGGGGCCCAGGACCTCTGGGAGCTCTGACAAAACGCTATGCTATTTTGAGACTCCCAAATGCCTGCGGTCGCACGCCCCCTCTCTCTTCCTACCCCGCTGCTCCTACAACGTGCTAAAATAATATAAACCTCAACACGCCGCCTCGGCAGTGTCGCGTCCACTATCGTGGACGTGATTCTGACGAACTTTAAAGACGTCCGGCCAGATGACTCAAGGCATCGGGAAAAGGCTGTCTCTTTCTCTAAAAGTGTAGCGGCGATCCACGGTGACTCCCCTATCAGCTAACCAGCTACTACTACGATGGCCAATCGTACTTCGCAGGTGTTCACTGCCGGGGTAAGCTGTCACTTACATGGTCGTGCCCACTGTGTCAGTGCGATACAAAAGGCAAGTGTGACCATCACCACGTAGATGTGATGCGGTGGAAAAGTTGTGCCCCAGCCGTGAGTTCTTCGCTTGCTCACTCTTCGTTGTCGTCTTTCGTGAGGTCGCGCATGCGATTGCTCACGCCCGTGAGAATCTGCGCCAGACTGCTCATCTTATTCATCCTCTCGATGTCAATCAGAGCGTCCTCCACGCGCTGCTCCTCCGTGACCGGAGGTGCTGGCTCGGCCCGTTTCGGGGACCTCGACCTGTCGCTCTCAGACGACTCGTCCTGCTTCTTGCGGTCGGTTGCCGCCGCTGCTGGCGGTGGTGGCGGCGAAGGCAACTTCACCCAGGGCTCCTTGACCCGCCTCCAAGGTTTCTTGTCCTCTGAACAGTATACGATGGGCTGTGCATCAGCCAACTGCTGCGCTGCTGCGCTGTCCATCTCGTGGCTTTTAGCGTTCTTCAAGTGTTGCTTCAAGCGGTAGGCGAGCGCTTTGCTCGTCTGCTCTTCCGTCTTCATCTCTGCGGCCTTCATCTCAAAGCACTGCGGCCCCCATGCCGGGCAATCCGGGCAGCGCACAAAAGCAATCTTTACATGCTTGGAAAGGCTCATGGTTTCTCAGCAAAAGAAATGCTCGAGCCCAAGTGTCTACGGAAGACCAACACATCGATTGGTCTACACTGCCGCTTTCAAAGAGATGCTTGATTGACCTGACAACCTAACCTGCCCTATCTTCCCTAAACACTTCCACATGGAAGACTGGTCCAAATGTTTCGTGCCTAAATCTGCTGCATTTTCCTTTCCAGGCACCTTGTGCACCACAATTTCCTTTTGGGCGACTTTGTCTTGAACCCACAAGGATTGCGTGTGCAAGTGGCGAATTTTGCCTACGCCTCTTCTGGTTGCTATCGCTTTCGCTGCAGAGCTGTCTGTGTGTAGTCGGCATTTCAAGGTAATGCCAAAATCTTTTGCCATAGCTCTAAAACCAAGGCATGTGCTGATGCCTTTCACTATGCTGTAAAATTCAGACCCCCCGGAACTCAGGGCAAGCACTGTTTGAGTGGAAGAATAAGTGCGTATACAATGTCCCCCGTGAAACTGCACACCCCCGTTCGTGCTTTTCCTTGTGCCTAAGCATCCGGCGTGGTCGCTGCCCACGTAAACATCACAAAATGATTGCGGGGGTTGCAAGGGAAACCTTTGGCACGTGCGTGGACAATTAAGCAAATATCTTCCTATCCTTTTCAACTTCTCAAAATCAGCCGCTGTCGGTTTCGACATTCCTCGTGCGGCCTCTTTCCCTGCAAACTGAAGCTCAGCACGATCAAGTGCTAGAAAATTAATACGCATGCAAACACTACGGAATAATGATGTCATATGAGCGTCCAAGAATTCAGCGTCTTGGTCGGCACTTTGTTTTACCCCTGGCGTCGTCACGGATTTTGAATTGCCGTGTGCTCTGTCAAGACCCAACTGCGACACAATAATTTCAGCATGTCGGTTGTCTGGTTCGTACTCCAAATACGGATTCCCAGAACTACTGTCAAGACACCAACGAATGATCCGATTCAAACACCGAATCTCTTGAGTGTGGTGTTGGAGGTCACCCAAGGTACCACGATCTTTGATCTCAAACTCTGACTGCATGTACGTTGTAAACCAAGACAAATCTGCATCCGAACCTACTGAAATAAAATCGCCCCCATGCACATAGCATTGGAGATCTCTCGTTTTGTGTTTAAAGATACACGGATTCCAAACGCCTTGCTCAAAACCACACTTTTTTCATCACAGCTGTGTATTTTGATTCCAAGTTTAACGCGGCATCGCGAGTACCGTACATCGACATGTTAAGACGACCTACCATGCCAGGGGAAGCGTCCTCGGGCGGAAGCTGCACATACACCTCACGAGTGGCAGGCGCATGAAAGTGCGCGCGTCGAACATCCAAGAAACTCAAATACTGACGGGATGAACGATCCTTTCCCTCAGTCATACACAGGCTCAAAATAAACTTCAATGCCTCAAGCGGCGGTGTTGCCGCAAAAGTGTCGTCCCTCTCTTCCAAACGTTTCAGCTCTTGTGCAACAATACGGGAACGATATTCCGGGTTGGTTTCGTCACCTTTGTTTACGTCTACCCAGCGCGTGCCTATCGGAGGGCGCCCGGTGCGTTCCAGACACTCTGAAAGAGGCACCTTTGTGTACACGTTGTGCTTGTGCACTTCCTTCATTTCGGCCTGTCGTGCCTCGCGCACCATTGAGGCCTCGAGCGGGGCTCCCGAGATATTACCCCAATACGTCGAATAATCCCCGGTCTGAGGTACCGGGGCCTCTTGGCACAAAACAACACCAACCCCATTGAGAGACAACATGTGCGAACAATGCAACTCATTTACAAGGCCTTCCAAGACACCCGAATAAAACCGTGACAACTTCATACGGCTACATGGGTCACGATGCGTGCACCATTTCTTAAGCGACAACATACAGTGACTAGAATTGCTACCCCACGTGTGCTGCTTACCTTCTATGTTTCGACATGTGTGTAAATACAGTTTACCACACCTCTTCTGCTCGCTGTACATTTCACGCAAGAACTTCGCATGAACTATTCGTTTCTGTTTGTCTGGGCTGTGCAAGCCAACTCCCACAACAAGCATAGGAGAATTAGAATTAGCAGCAAGCTTGGCGGCATCTCTGTGAGACCTTTTGGCGAAGTCCCACACTGACCCATCATGAGGGTTCACCCGAGAGAAATCAATAACCAAAGACGGATCCAAACCGTGGCACATCCCAAACTCTGTTTCGCTCTTTCCTATTAACTCAGAAATCGACGTGTCAAAACCTAGCTTACGGAATGACCTACGTAATGATTGAAACGACTCTAGATCTACCTCCTGAGCGATGCTACGATGCAGTGCGCTCAAACCACCCTCGTTTGACATGCGCACGTCCTCATGGGAACCATCTAGTCCTATCCCGGCGGACCCCGAAGCAGGAGTCACAGGTCCGGGTTGTTCTGGGATTTCAGGCGCAACCTGTGGCTCTACCACTGGCTCCATCTGCTGATCAGGGACATTCGCGGCAGAGGTGTCTGCTGACACGTGCCTTCGCTTGGTATCGCAAGCCTCGCTTCCGGAGATTGGCCTCTGACTGCCAGCTCGACCTACATGATCGTTCATTTTCCGCTTTTGGGTGTCCGCTCGGATTTGCCCTTGCGGTGTAGATTTGATCACAGGGTACATTCGTGCACGGCACGCTTGCGAATGAGCAACAGGGGGTTTTCCTTCCCGGTGTGCTTCACAACCGGGGCAGTTAGAAGAATAACCAAACTTAATCAAATCAGCTGTGCGGATGTAAAGTTGCCTCGGAGTCGCCACATGGCCCTCCGCCTTCGCGAGAGGAGGTGGCACAGGGAACCCATCAAGAATTGCAGGCTTAATCTCAAGACTGATTTTCACATCGGGCTCATCGGTTTTAGGGTTCGGTTTCCAAGGCGTGCCTTTCATGTTCTTCAGATGATCCACCGAAAAACGCAACGATGGAGGTCGTCTGCGGTACGACCTGGCTTTCACTACACCTTCAGGGGTACCAATGAACACCTCATCAGACATGTCACTAATTCCAACAAAAACTCCATCAACAAACTTATTCTCTAATTTGTTCAACCTGCCTTTACTGCTTACTGCAGGGGCGTAGAAAACAAACTCACCAAACTGAGGTAAAGCTTTCATGTATCGCTTCCCTTTGAGTCTCTCGCATGGTGCGCGGCCGTCCGCACTTACCTGACATCGGTTCAAAACGCACGAAGCAAAACTAACAAGCCAAGGTAATAAAGGATGGTCGCTCGGAATTTGCCAGCCGCAGCTGGTTTCCAGAGCGTCTTTCAGGGTACGAATCAAACCGGCAATAGTTTGGACAGACCGCTCAACCACACCATTCGCCTGATGATCCCCTACTGGGCTAGACTCAAATATTATTTGATGAGTGTCGTCCAAACCTGCACGTACCTTGTTTTTCAGATCCAAGATCGCGGGCTCTTGGTCCGATTTGAAAATGAATTTCTTGTGACCTAAATTAATAATGTCATCTATCAAACACTTCACTGCATAGGGGTGTGTTTTGGAAGGTACAACCCTACTAGACTTACTGCCAGATGCATGATCAACTAATGCTATGCACGTGCATGTTGGATCATCGTGATGTCCTAAAAAGAAATAATCTATGGACACGGTGTTCACAAGACGAGTGCGCTGAGAAGCAACCGCGTGATCCAACATCCCGCCACGCCCCCTAACACAATGAGGGCACCAAGACCGATATCGACAATGAAAACTGTTCTCATGATCGATGATTTCCTGCTGTGTAGGCTCATCTGGGTTTAAACGCTTAGGTAAAACACGCACCTCCTCAGATTCAGAAGGTTCTACCGGGGGAGCTTCTACGATAGGCTCCGGTGGCTCTACATCAAATTCGGGACGATTGACCCATTCCTCACCTTCCTCGACTCTAACCATGGCTTGTGGGGGCGGTGCGGCCCCACGGGCAGATTCACCAGAAGTATTCCTGCCGGAGTGCCTTGGGGCAGTGCCGGCTTCATGTTCCACATCCATGTTACTGGGCGCGTCTAGAGGTATAAGGTCAAAACTTACAGCACTAGTTTTAACACCGTTCGAAGGTTGTGCCGGGATGCTCGCAGAGCCCGGTGTGAAACTACATGGTTGGCAAATTCGGGGTCTTACGCCTTCCTCGACTGCCGCCGGAAAAATCCCGGCGACCCTCGAGAGGCATTGTCCTGTGTAGCGCCGCCTGGGCCCCAAGAGCTGCCATCACCGGCAGATAAGGGCCTCGCAGTGAGTTTTGAACCAGGGTGCAAAATCCGAAATTCCATTACGTACGTATCGTTCTCCCTATCGAAGGGAGTTTTCTTGCGAGTCGCAATATCGTAAATAAAACCACCTGACTTGGAGAAAACAACAAGTTTCTTCTGATCGCAAATGTTGGAAACGGAACACAACGGATTCTTCACGTCTGCTACACGGGCCTGCAGTGAACACAGTTTACTGTTCCTGTCGAGCGCCTTTAGTTTCCTACTTCCTTCATCTGGAATCTTTGTTCCGCACGCGCTCCTGTAGTCCTGTCCGTTTGGGGGCCCATGACATCCCTTGACTTTGTCGAACACGCACGCAACTTTTCTGGGAATGACAGTGACGCAGGCTCCTGAATCCATCTTTGCTTTCAGAGTTCCTAAGAAATTCGTTTTCGGACGAACCAGCCTTGAGCGCGAAGTCGCAAGTGGTTCCAAACACGCGCTGCCCTCCTGTTCGCGCTCTGTGCACCCAGCGCCAGGTCCCTCTGAAGTTCCTGGATGGGCCCCTCGATTCACGTACCTGTTTGCTTTGATTTTGCTGTCAGCGCCCATTGGCGCACCTACGGGCTGGCACGGATCCTGAGTGGCACGGAGTTGTTTTTCGATAGCCTCGTCCAGCAAATCGTAATCAAAAAACCTGGTGTCGTTTTCAAGCGCCTCCAAAACCAAACCATCAAAACTGATTTCTTCCGTGTACGGCTCGGGCTCTCCAATGATTTCTTCCGTGATGGCGTTGGACAGGTCAAGGTGCAACTCGTGTGTGGGGGGCGGCTCTGGTTTTGCGGGCAATTATCCTGTTTGTGGTTTCCACCACACGTCCAACAACTACCTCGGAAATTCGATCTGTTGTTCCACGATCCGGAGGGTGCCCCTGCCGAGACATTGCCTCTGGAGTTCCATTGGTTCCAGCCAGAGCTCGACTGAGAGTGTCCCGTCTGGGATTGGGGACCTTTTCCTACGAAACTCCCGTAACCTCTACCTGCACCCTTCTTGCCGCCGCCTTTCCCGCTATCACTCCTCTTACCACCACCTGTCTTACCATCACTCCTCTTACCACCACCTTTTCCTCCATAGCCCTTTCCTCCTCCGTATTTCCCTTTTCCGGATGCCGTTTTACCTTTGTAGAAACACTTCTCACTAGGGTGGTTAGTTCCACCGCAGTGGATGCATTTACCCTTACCTCCTGAATCGGCCTTGCCTCCAAAAGCGGACAAATCCATCCTATCAGAACTCTGTCCGGGATCTTTGGTGTCAAGGTAGTTGACGATTGCCCGACGAATCTGGCTATACCTCGCGCGCGTGTCAGAATTAAGCAACAAATGATCACCAAGCTTGCCCGGACACATGCTGATGAGAGCTGATGCCCTGATGTCGTCATGGAAGGGCTGAGTTCCTGTGCGGCTTTCGTACTCTGACACTCGTTTCTCCCACTTTTCGATTGCAGACCTAAGCTCCGACCATTGTACTTGGGATGGGTTCATGAGCTGTTTCAGAACGTTTCGACGGCGCCCGGCGGACTGAGGGTCAAAGTTCTTTACTAAACGACGCCATGCTTCAAATCCTCGTCCGTCGGGGACGTTTTTGAGGATGTCCAAAGCTTCGCCCTCAACTAAAGACGCAAGAACTGTGTACATGTTACTGTTCATGGTTCCTAAGCTCTCTACCGATGTTCCTACCATGTGCAATGCAAGATCGTCGGTTGTAGTGATTTCAGCGGCCTGGCCACATGCCCAATCACATGCTGCGCGAATGTCTGGGTGCACGGAAGCGATGTAATTCAGAAACTTGAAACTGAAAGTTGGCCATTCCGATCGCTCTGACTTGAAAGCCGACGGTTTTCCTATCTGCCTAGTGTCAATCAGAACGCCGTCTCGCGAACCTCTTGCTTGGGCAATCTGTGCGCGCAATTCATCGTTCCGTGCTTTGTGCTCGATTTCCTTATCCCTTGCCAATTGCTGAACCGCGTTCAATTGGTTGGTTAAGACGTTGTTCTGCTGACGGACCTCGCCTAAATCAGCGGTCATCCTCGCAACGCTTTGTGAAAGATTCTGCAGTTCCTGGAGTGCTGCAGCTAGCTGTTCTGCTGTCGCCGCCATTCCTCGATTGGGCGTGCGACTGAAATCAAACAATCAAATCTCGAAGTACAAATGTAAGATGGTCCAAAGGGATACTACGCTCTGCGCTGCCATGACAAAACGCTATGCTATTTTGAGACTCCCAAATGCCTGCGGTCGCACGCTCCCTCTCTCTTCCTACCCCGCTGCTCCTACAACGTGCTAAAATAATATAAACCTCAACAAGCTCACGTTTTATATATATATATAATAATATATATATATATATATATATATATATATTATATATATATATATATATATATATATAAAAAAAAAA